AACAATAAAAAGATTTTACAACTGTTTAAAAAAAATCCTCTCTTTGACATTTACCTTGGAAATAGCTTTCTGGACTTGTGCCCTCAGCCAAGGGAAAAACAAAAATAAACAAATGGAACTACATCAAGCAAAAAAGCTTCTGTATAGCAAAGGAAACCATCAATAAAATGAAAAGACAATCTGTTGGATAGAAGATTTGCAAAGCATATATCTGATAAGGGGTTAATATCCAAAATAGATAAAGAGCTCATACAACTGAATAGCCAAAAAAACCCACAAAACCAAAAAACCCAAAAACCCAAATAGCCTGATTGAAAAATGGGCAGAGGACTGGAATAGACATTTTTTCCAAAGAAGGCATACAGATGGCCAGCAGTCATATGAAAAGATGTTCAGCATCACTAGTTATTAGGGAAATGCAAATCAAAACTGCAAAGAGATGTCACCTCATGCCTGTTCTAATGGCTGTTACCAAAAAGGCTAGCAATAACAGGCGTTGGCAAGGATGTGAAGAGGGAACCCTTGTATACTGGAGGTAGGAATGTAAATTGGTGCAGCCACTATGGGAAACAGTATGGAGAGTCCTCAAAAAATTAAGTAAAGAACTACCACATGATCCAGCTATCCTACTTCTGGGTATTTATCCAAAGGATATGAAAACATTAATTTGAAAAGATAGACATATCCCTATGTTCACTGCAGCATTATTTATAATAGCCAGTATAATAGGCAGAGTGCCCATTGATGGATAAATGAGTAAAGAATATATGATATATATTATATATACAATATAAAATTTGTACAATGGAATACTACTCAGCCATAAAAAGATGAAGTCTTGCCATTTGTGACAATATGGATGGACCTAGAAGGTCTGTTATGCTAAGTCAAGTAAATCAGAGAAATTCACTTATATGTGGAATCTAAAAAACAAAACAAATGAACAACCATAACTAAACAGAAACAGTGTCACAGATACAGATTAAAAATGGGAGGTTGCCAGAGGGGAGGGTCATAGGGCATGGTGGTCATTTTGTAACATATGGAAATATTGAATCACCGTGTTGTGCACCAGGAACTAATATAGTGTTGTCGGTCAGTTATACTTCAAAAAGCAAACAAACGTATAGAAAAACCTTTGTGGTTACCCTAGGCAGGAGGTAGGGGAAGGGGGAATTGGATGAAAGTGTTCAAAAGTTACACACCTCTGCTTGTAAGATAAATAAGTACGAGGGATGTAATGTACAACATGATTAATATAATCAACACTGCTGTATGTTATATATGAAAGTTGTTAAGAGAGTAAATCTTAAGAGTTCTCATCACAGGGAAAAATATTTTTTCTTTTTATTTAATTTTTTTTATATGAGATGATGGATGTTCATTAAACTTATTGTGATAATCATTTCATGATGTATGCAAGTCAAATCATTATGTTGTATGCTTTAAACTTACACAGTGCTGTATGTCAATTATATCTCAATAAAACTGGAAGGATAAAAAGATAAAACTTCCTAGTTGTTTTTTTCTGGCCTGTGAAATCACAAACACAATAAATGAACAGATCAAACCAACTAAAAACAAACACATAGATACAGGGAACAGAGGAGTGGTTACCAGAGGGGGGAAGGAGGCTGGGGGAGGGTGAAATGCATAAAGGGAATCAACTGTATGGTGACGGATGGAAACTAAGTTTTTGGTGGTGAGTATGCTGTAGCATATACAGAAGAAAAATATAATATTACATGTTACATGTTACATGAAACTTATGTAACATTATAAACCAATGTTAACCTCAATAAAAAATAAATTTAAGAAATTATCTTTCTTCCATAAAAATTACCCTATCAGAATTGGATTATGGACATTGTGGAAGCTGGGATACCAAGAAGAAAAACTTTTCATTCACACAGAGATATTATGGCTTTAACCAAAACAGAAGTGGGGACAAAGATAGAGGATGGATTCCATGAATCACTGGAAGATAAACAGGGAAAGATCTGATGATTAATACATCAAGTAAGAGAGACGATGACAGTAGTTTCCAGTTTGGTGATGTGGATAGCTTGCATTGTGATGCCATTAACAAAAAAGATACTGGAAGAGAAATGGGTCTGAGTCAGAAGAAGAAAGAATTATTAAGGTTAATTTTAGGAAGTCAAGAATTTGAGACTGCTGTACACATCCAAGTGGAGAAGATAAGTAGTCACTTGGAAAGCTCAGGATGTCCCGGGAGAGGGCTGCGTTAGGAGTCCTTTGATTTGGGAGTGATTGAAGTGAAGCATCAGTATTTTAAGGTAACAGTCAGTGGCAGAAGAATCATCAAAGAAACTGAGAAGGCTCTGCCAGAGTGACGAGAAGAGGACCAAAAGAGACAGTGTGGAAGACATGATTCTAAGAGCTGTGGAAAGAGTAGGAGATGACTTCGGGATGGGGAGTAGGCTTCTTATTCAAAGAGGATGATGAGAGATTAGCAAGAGAGGAGGGGAAAACAAAGACAAAGCAAACATATACTTTTGTAAGCTGAGTATAAAGAACTGGAAGGTGGAGATTAAGATAGAGGAAAGAAGAGGACTAACTGATGACGACCCTGCAAACCCCCTGAGGAGGAATGTGGATAAGAGAGACATCATTTCCTCTGAGCCAGGTGGGATGAAGATGAGTAAGGTGAGACGAGGTGAATGTGAAAGCAAGGACTGGGGAAAAATGATTTCTTGACATGTATTATACATTGAGTTGTAATTTTAATGAGTCATATGAGATCTCGTGTAGTTGATAATAGTACATCATTGACTCAAGAGGAAAATCCTCTTTCCTCACAGGGAGCATAGGTGAAAGAACAGGACCAACAGTCATTTTTAGGGAAAGTTGGAGATTCTGAGAAAATCCTGTAGTGTCTCTCTCACTTTCTCCTCTTAACATTCTTATGTTGGTAAGAAACAGGTTAAAATGAACATGGTAGTGATCCCTGAGTGGAAAAGTCAGATCCATAACAGGTTGAAATAATAGCCTGTCAGTACTTTACGTTTATAAAATGCTTGGTGGCTTTTATTTCCCATGTTCCCTACCGGCCCCACTCCTGTGCTCTTGTTTGTTTTTCTTTCTACCTTGTCACTGTCCTCACCACCTCCTCCTCTCCTTACCTTCTTACTACAGGGCTCATCAACCCTCTTTCTCCTCTGATAGCACGAGCACTTTTTAAATTGCTCTTTGCTGCCCGTCCCTATCTGTCGAACCTTAGAGTTGTGTGCACACGTTTTGTTCGTCCCATTCGATGTTGTGTGTCTATAGTACATGTCTCCTACTTTTTCTTTTACCCTCCACTATTCCTTGCTATCAGCAAACACTTAAGAAATATTTACTACATTAATAAAATGATGACAAAACAAAGCTAGTTGAAAAGTTGAGATGAAATGATAAAACTTGTACGTGTATATGACTGCTCAGAACTAGGGTCTTTTGATTCCCAGCTCTCACCCTGAACTTTGTGCTTCTCTAGAAACATTAAGCAAGTGCTAAGGGGGTAGATAGGGGACACAAAGTGAAAGTGTGCATCAATGAGGCTCAGATGACCCAGGCAAATTCTGCCTGAGTCACTTTTTACTCTCCCAGAAGCCACTTGTGGTGTCATTTGCCTCTGTCATGGCTGACCTTCCCTAGTTACTCTGATGTGATGGCCACAGCCAATGTGCCAAGCTAGAACTCTGGCTGTTCTCTATGGATATCTCTGATAGTCAATAGAGACAATGAGCAGAGATTGCTGGTGCCTTTGCCAGAATAATGCTTTACTTCATTAGCACTGTCAATCCATTTAAAACAAACCCATTTAATAGATAGGCCTGCTTTAAGTAGGTATGTGATACTATCATCCATGCTGCCCGTATCACATATTTTAAGTTATTTGTGTACGTATCTGTAAATTTGTAAAGCAGGATCAAATACAATGCATTTGGAAATGAAAAAGTTGTATCATTATTACCAGACTGGCCCCAGACATCCTACTCCTCCCTTAGTTTTCCTCTGTGCTCATCTTAGTTCCTTTTTCCTCATCTGAAGCTGGGTTGTTCTCAGCTAATTGCCAAAGCCCTCCTTTCAAATTATTAACTGAGTATAGTTTGAAATAATACATTTGCCAAGAATATTTGTAATTTAACAATATATGACTCTGTTGGTAAATTTCCTTTACTGAGATAAGTGTTGAAGGAAATTTTTTTTTGCAGTTAATTTATATAATTATTTAGAAAAAACTACATTACAATGGCAACCACCTATTATGTCCAAAAATGAAGCCCACCTTGGTAATGTATTATATGGTTGATCCAAGAAAAACACTTTGCCATACAAGAATCTATGGTGGTACAGTGTTGAGATTTAACTTAGCTCACAAATCCCTCCTCAGATTTTCCCTTTTCCTCTCTATCAAACCTATGAGACAAGGTATTTATTTCATTTTATGAAAATGTAAAAAAATACCCAATACCATATTCGGCTCTCCCCTCCTTTTCAATTATTTGATAGAGATGAAGTTGAAAGAAAAATCCCATTTTTGGAATGAATTTTCCTGGTAATAACTTGTCCTTTCAGTACCTTTCATTTTTGTAGCTCTAACTTCAGTAGACTTGACAGTGAGTATCTTTTTCACTCTATGCTATTTAAAATTTAGTTAGTAGAGTCTGTCTGTGGTATCACAAATCTTATCTGCAGAGGCCACTGAGACAAAAGTGCATAGAAAACTGACCTGGGAGCTACCAAATGTGTTTCTCATTCCTTTGACTGCTTTATTCTTTGCTTCCACATATAAATGAAATAGGCACTGAAAGAGTCCTCATAAATTTTGCCTTTGAGAAAACAAGAAACTTGACAGTGTATCACAATTGTCCAATGGGGTGATATGCCTCAACTTACCATAGGTGTACAGAAACGTCACAGACCGCTTTGGGTCTGCTACCCACAGTGAGCTAACTACCAAGGAGTTCACAGCAACCACAAAGATGTCTGAATGCTTGGAATGGCCAAGTTACATTTATTTTGTACCAAGCAAAGCAGAAAATTACTCTACAGTCGAGTTACTTCCTCTTTTGAGGAAACAAAAAGACTGTAAATGTACTTGAAAACAGAGAGACAGATTGTGGTCAAGCTCACAATAGGCCCAGGGAATGGACAGTATCTCTGGGTTATGACTTGTGGTTCCTCAGGAGGGATGGTTGGCCTCGAAAGAAGCCACTGGATGAATTCTTCTAACTTGGTTGCACTGAGGAAAAATCTCCACTTTCCTCCATGGACAAAAGTTAGCTTGATCCATGTATTAAAGTCTGGGTAAATATAAATATTTGACTTTGCTTTTCGAAAGCTTCTTAATGTGTTGTGATGATTATTTTTCTTCAGAGCTTTAATTTGGGGAGAAATTGGTTTTTCCTCAAGATGATCAGTGAGCTTGGGACAACTGGACACTTTCTCTGATTCTGCCGAAGAGCTTTCAGAGTCTGTGGAGGCTACCGTTTGCTTCAGAGTTCCTGGTTGTATGAGTTTGTGAAGAAGATCTATGATCTCTTTACCCTTTTCTCCTTCCAGAACCTCTAAACAATGTATATGAGAGCAAGAATTCTGGTTTTCCAGTTCTATCACCTTCTTCTTTAAAGCATCAATGTCTTCCTTCATAGAGAAGATATCTTTAGTTATTTTGCACTGTTTGTCTTCATTAACATTCACTCTGGTTTCCAGTACCTCCATCTGCATCTGATAAAAGTCAGTCCTTTCCTGGATTTTCGATACAGCACTGACGATGTCAGTCATTTGGCCGAGGAGTTCAATCTGGGAAGTTTTGATATCTTGGAGCATTACTGCAAGATTCATTTCTTCATCAGCAATAACGTCATCTTGATCACAATCATAGAAAGTCATAGTTGGATATCTAGTTGAATTTGGGTGCTGGTTCTTATATTTATGGTAAACATTTTTAAGAGATTGTCTCATCTTGGAGAAATTTGAATTCCACATCTGCCCAGCAGCAGCTTTTACCCTTTTGGTTTGAAGTTTGTACATCTTTCATAATGAAACAAGAGGCAAGGTGTTGGGAAACCTGACCAAAATCAAAGAAAGGAGCAATGTCAGAATGAAATGGTCTTTCTCTTACTATTTGTTGGGTGTCTTTCCTGGTAACATCCTAGAACGTCTTATGGAGAGTATCAAGGGCAACAGTGGGCACTCTTTGACGGTTAGCCTCTTATAGGGTGGTCCAGCTGGAGAGCGCTGTGAAATAACTGTCAATTGCATGGAATCCTTCATAAGCTGACCTGATGCTGATGTCACAATGGCTGCTGGCTTAGAATACATTTAACCTTTCAAAATTTTTGGTCACAGGACTCTTTCACTAGTAAAAATTGAGGACTGCAGAACTTTTGTTTATGTGAGTTATATCAATTGATAATCCATAATAGAAATTAAAACTAAGGAAGCTTTAAGATATTGATTTATTTAAAAAACCCATTACATGTTAACATAAATGACATATTGTTATGAAAAAATACTTTTCCAAAAGAAAAAAATAGTGAAAAGAGTGTCATTATTTATATATTTGCAAATGTTTTAAATACCTGGATTAATAGAAGACACCTGGATTGTCATATCTGCTTCTGCATTATATCTGTTGTGATTTGTTGTTTTGTTTGAAGTATATGAAGAAAATACGGCCTCATAGAGCTATGTAAATGGAGAGAGTATTTTAATGGCCGTTTCAGATAACTGAGGCTTCCTTTCTTTGCTACTCGACCAATGATAATTGATTAGAAGTTAAGTGCAATATATAATCTTAGACGAGATTAATATTGTTACATTAAAATTCACAGATCTATCTTCCATTCTGTATAGATATTTAATATCATGCATTGGTCATTTGGAAAATAATGATTCACTGAAATGCACATCTCCCAAATGGTAATTCATCTTATTATGTAATATCAAAAATATCATGTTCATTAACATCACCACCAATCTCACCAGAAAAGTCTTTGAGTATTGGGAAGAGGCCAAGCCCATGGTGGGAGATAAAATTTTCCAAAATTCTAACTTTATCTTGAAAAGCTTGAAATGTATTAAGCTTGTTAGTTATTTTCCTTAAAGTGACATGCTCCCTACATACATTAAAAAAATTTTTTTTGCAAAAATGCTTGCCAAATACCCAAATATGAAAACCATAGTTTTCTGCCAGTTTTTTTTCAAGTGAGAATGTTGTTCCATGAAAAAAGCAGCTACTTTAGTTTGTAACTCAGATGATAGGTCCTTTTCCTGGAGACAACCATGATACTTCTGTAAGCAGCAGAAGTGCTTTATGTGTAGTTCTCATTACGTCACGCTTAGTATTAAAAAGACCTACTGAATGTGGAGATTTAATAAAAAAATTTTTTTACTGCTTAATCAAGGACATTCTAGAGCTAAGACTGGGTTTTTCTTGTATGCATTCTTTTTTTTTTTCTCTGCATCAGTGGGGGTGAAAAATACAATCACTATTGGTACAGTTAAGTGCCATTGCCTTGGCTTGTGCTAAGGTATCAGTTTTACCCACCATTGCTCTTGCAATGCAATTTGGAAAATGCAAATATCAACACAGTGAAGAAAATAGTGTTCTAATACTATTTTGAAATACTTTTACCCTCATGGTCCATTGTATGCCACACTTTGAGAACCTCTGCCTTAAAGTTTTAAAATAACATCATACATTTTTCATGTTTCTTCTTAAGATTTTTCTAAACAATAGTATGTGAAATCCAAATGCTTTGAAATATTAAATATTTTGTCTGTTTTGTATATTGGGAAATGCCAGTCAAGGGACAATCTCACTCTATTGAAGAGGATATTCCTTCTTGGATCAGTACCAGTTCCAGTCCTCTACTAAATCACTCTTTCTCCTATTTACGCCTAATTGCAGGGCCAACTTAGGCCTAGGTTTTGGTATAAACTCCGAATTTAGGTAAAAGTAATTTAAGAATTTTGCCTCATCAATGATATCTGGGATTTTTCTTTACTGTCCTATCTTTGAATCCCTATTTAGTAACATTTCCAAAACTTTTAGAAGCCTGTCCAAACTCTTGCTGAGAAAAAATGTTCTCCAGGAGGCAGACTATCACAGAAATGGTATTTAGAGCCAGAAAAGGTAGCATTCAAAGCTGTCCCATTTGCTTTGGCCAAGGCCATTCTATCCATCAAGCACACAGACACAGTGCTTAGGGCCTATGAAATTTCAAGGGCCAATAAAAATAAATATTTGAGATTGGAAAGAAAAGCAAATGGTCTCAGAATACTAAAAGCTGCAAGACTGAAACAATAAATGTTTAATTAAATGTCTCCGAAGTGTACTATTATATCATCTTCATTAATTGTTAAATTTAGTGTTAAAATTTCATTACATTTGGAGGCAATTTGTAGATTAGGTATTCTTGCTTTACAGAAATTCCCAATTAAATTAGAAGGATTGCTTGTAGCAATTACTCTCTCTGGGCTAATAACAGGTAGCTGCTACTGAGAGTATACCAGACATTGTTCTAAATATTAGCTTATTAAACTGAAATCCAGAGAAGTCAAGTAATTTTCCTGCTAAAAAAATGGATAGTCGAATTTCAGATCCATACATTCTGGCTCCAGGGTCCATTTTTTCCCCCTACTGCCACACACACAAACATGACCAAAATATGCATTTGTCAACTCAGAAACAGATAATTTCACTTTTTAGAAAAAAAATCACACTATATACAAAACTTATTTTGATTAAATTTTTTAGAAGTATGAAAAAACTAAAGGTTTATTTGGTTATTTATCAAAGCAATTTGATGTATAAATTTGTGAAGACTTCAGAAATTGAATGATCTCTAATTCAAGTAGGTAAAAATTAACATTTAGTGGCTATTTTTGCCTTGTAGTAAAAGTATAACTGTAATGAAAAATGACAGACTTAAACATTTTCAACTAAAAATATTCATGAATACTGATTATTTTTCTAAAACAAAAATTAATCTGGTAGGTTTGATGCAGACATAAATTTATGTGAGTTTCTAATTATTTCTGTAAAAATGTTAATGAAAGGAGCCTCAGTCTATTTGGGGCTTGTTGGACAGTGAAAAGCTGTATTGGGGGTAAGCCTTTTGATTTCCATGATGTTGTGAGAGTAGTCAGCACGTGAATGAATAATGAGAAATGAGCTGACTCCCTCTCTTCCAGTTCCTGCCAGGGGTATGGAGCCATTTAGGATGAAAATGACACTGCAGACTGGAGCCTTGCCACTGACTCTTACCAGGGAAATACGTCCTCCAGGAGACAGGCTTTTTCAGTAATGGTATTTGGAGCCAGAAAGATTATAGTTCAAGGTTCTCCAATTTACTAACTCTGTGCTGTTAGGTTTCTAACTTCTCATGAGGCTATAAAATGGGATAATAACAGCACCTATTTCATAGAATGGTTTTGGGAATCAAAGTGCTCAATATCTGTAAACCCTTTTCCTACTCCTCATTGACCATCTTCTAACTCTCCTTTCAAATGAAAGAAGAAATACTTAAGAGTTTTAAACTTTAGTTCTGCTCTCCCTCTCTTACTCTGCCTTTCATTCCCCTATTTGAACAAAGAGGCCATACTACCATCGTATGACCAAGACATAAAGCATATGATGCTCACTGTTCGAAACCTACAGATGCAGGTAAAGCATTTGGATTAGAAGAACACTATAATGAAGTGAAACTTGCTAATGACAATTTACTTTTTCACTATAAAATTGTGTGGTCTCTTTCTGGGATCCCCTCCAGTCAAACTTCTACTCATCCTTTAGGAGACATCCAGGTAATGCGTTCCTTGTCCTGTCCTGTTCTGATTCTCCATGTATTCTTACCAGTACTACTGACATGTTCTGAGTCCCTACCCAGCAGCGATTGGTGTACTGTATTGTCATTGGTGTGCCTACCTTCCCTCTAGACTGGGCACTCCTTGAGGGGCGAGACTTGTTTTTCAACTCTACACCTCCAGTGTCACAAAGCTTAACATATAATTGGTGCTCAGTACATTTTCCCTCAGGGAATGAATGAATAAATAAATGAACACATGCATACACTTGTGGATGATTGTTAAGGTATACGATAGGTCTCTCCTGAGCTTATTTCTGTGGGTGGCTAGGGAACATATGGCTTGCTTCATAAAGGGAATCTATGGGATAACTCTTGTCAGTTCCTGAGGGATCATTTAGCATTTTGGGATAGGGATTTAATAATTGCTTCCCTAAAGACCTGAAGCAGTTAAGTGGCAGGAGAGGTAAACTGAGATCAGGTAGATGGAGGTAATGAACCTGGAAACAGCTATGGCATGGAGAAGAGAGAGCCCAGCAAATGATGGGAGCAGCACTGGTATTAATGGCACTGATCCTAGGGGTGACTAAGGTAGCCAGCATACTCCCCCTCTGTGTGGCATATTAAGTTTTTCAGGCCTCCAGGGAACCACAGGTAATCAGTGTATTCTCCAAGCCCCTTCGGCAATGCCTGCGAATGCATTTGTCATCATCGTGGGTACTCAGGCACTTATCTCTTTATTCATGTCATCTTATACTCTGAACTCCAAATTTACAATGAACTCTTTCCAGCTTATCTAGACATACTCTTCACCATTTAGTTTCAGAACCCTGGGGGCACATTAGTATTTTATGTAATCTCTCCTCCCTGTCATCTTCCTCTAGTTCTTTCTGTTATGCTTGACTCTCCCTGGTAATATATTATATAAGGTTGCTCAGTGTCTGTAATTCTCAACCTCACCTCTTGGTTTTCCTTCTCTGATATTACCTTTAAAACTCTGCTCCCTTTAGCTTATGATTGACACTCTTTTTGTAGTGCTTTGTAAGTCCTGATGTGCACAATTGATGTAGCCATAAAAATAAATGACTTGAAAAAGGAAGAGAAAGCAAAAGAGAAGTGTTTTTGCTTAACCATTCACCTTCCTTTAATGGAACTGGTGAATAAATTCAGTGAGTTAGTCTTTAAACATCTCTGTTTCACTGAATTTATATAATTTAGCAGGTCTTTTTGAAAATCATTATCTGATAAGTACAGCCCAGTGTTAACTTTCTGTCTTGTTCCTGAATTGCTATGTACTTCGTTTAGGGAACCCCCAAAGTTAAAACATATGGAATATATAGTGATCACATAGAAAATAAAATAGAGATTTAAAATGTAAGCAAATCCAGAAATCATAAAGT